CCTAAAGGCTGGGGGGGGGAACCACCGGACCGTTACAGAGAGAGAGAGAGCGATCCGGGGCTCCTGCGCATGCGCCCTGAGGGAATTTCTTCTCTGTTCTTCCCCCCCCCCAACCCCCTTACCGGCCTCCAGGAGATCACGTCGTCGCTCCCGGGATCCTCCACGAGGGCCCACAGCTTGGCCAGGAAGCCCGGCACGGGAGAGGGCCCCGGCGGCGGAGCCTCCCCCCCGGACGAGGCCTCCCCTTTCTTCATGCCGGCCGACCCCCTCGGATGGCGCAGGAAAAGCGGGACGGGGGAGGAGGAGGAGGAGGAGGGGGCGGAGCCTCGGCGCGCCGAGCAGATGACGACATCCCGCGTCGCCCGGCCAACGAGACGTTGCGTCGGGGGCGGGGCTTCGGAAGACGCTCTGGGGCTCTGCTCCGCCCCCCCTGCCCCGCCCTCGGGGCGCGGCTGCCTTCTCGGAGAAGGGCGGGGCCCGGAGTGGGCCGTGACGTCACGGGGAGCCGTAAAGCCTGGCGAAGCGGCGCAGCGGGGATTCCCGGGCGGCGGTTAACCCTTTGCGGCCCGCCGCGGAGCTGTGCGCACCCGGCCGCCCTTGATCCTAAGGAGGCGCTGCGCCATCTCACCCCTCCGGTTTCTTTCTTTCTTTCCCTGACGCCCCCGCCTGCATTCAGCCCGGTGGCTGTCCTTCAAAGCCCCGACAGCCTTGAGTCCGACCCATATGCTCTCCTAAACCCGGTCCTTCCTGCCCGGGGCTTTCGGCTGCCGCAGAATTCTGTGCAGGTTTTGCTGCCACAAACGGACGCGGTCCCTTTCCCTGATGATCGCTGTACACGTTGCTGCACCTCTTAAAATGCCTCGCATGATGAAAAACAAAGGCTGCAGGAATCCGGTCTCGCACCCGCTCCTTTTCCCTGGCGGGCGGAGGCAGGCAGGAAGGCCCCGGTTGCGGACCCCCAACGTCCAGGCTTCTTCAAGGGAGCTGGGATCCTGCACATAGAGCTGCGCGCACACCCCGGGCGCCTGCATCCACCTTCTTCCTTACCCCCCTTTTAATAGCACGAGCCTCCGTCTATGACCTCCCTGCTGCCCTCCAGCCTTTCCGTGCGGGGCTCCGTCGGGGGTGAAGCGGTGCCCGGCTTGCCCTTGCCATGCAAAGCTGAAAGGGAAGCAGACAAGAAGAGTTGACAAAGTGTGTGTGCGAGAGAGTGACACTGTCGTGCAATAGTATTTATTCGCTCTTGTGTGGGCTGCCCCACCGCTGGCGCGGCCAGCCACCCGGGCCAAATCCGGCTCCTGCCGAGGGCATTTCCAAACACACCCGCTCGCTCTCTGGTCTCTTTATGACCCGGACTTTGGCCCTTCTTGGCTCGGGGCGGCCTCCTCCCAGGGCTTCTTCCCTTGGAGCGTCAGAGCCGGGAAGGGTGTCCTTGGGGGACGCGGCCTGAGCCCTCTTTCTCCGCCGCCCGCTCTCTGCCACCCGGGTCTCCTCTTCAGCCCAAGGAAGGGATCCGCCGATGGATTTAAGCCCGCACTTTGGGAGTTAGCGACGCGAGAAAGGCTGCGGTCCTCGACGCCGCGGCGGGGACGGGAGCGCCACCGGCACTTCCTGATAAAGGAGGATTGTATGTACGTGGCAAGGAGTGGTGATGCGGTGGATCGCGAGGGAGACCGGAGAGGGAGGAGGGATGCCAAGAGGCCGGGTGGGAAGGTGGCACTAGGCATGATGACTGATGATGATGAGGCCCCATAGGGTTAGAGCTCGCTCTGAGCAGTTTACAACATAATAATTCAAGGAACCCTTTCGCTCTTCAATGAGCTGGTACTCCTTTTGCCAACCTCAGAAGGATGGAAGGTTGAGTGAGCCTTGAGCCGGCTACCTGCGCCCGGCAAGATCCAACTCAGGTTGTGAGCAAAGTCTTGACTGCAGGACTGCGGGGCTCTCTTGCATCCCTGAAGCCAAGGCTCATCCAGGCAGGCAGGGGCCGGTTCCCCTTGATATTAAGAGGGCTTCATTCTACAAGAGGATCCCATTTGGCAGAGAAGCAGCCGATCCCAACCCTGTGTCTTGTCGATTCCCACTTTTGCGATTCACCTCCCAAGCAGGCTGGGTTGGTATCCTGTCTGTTATTTATGTAGGTAAAAATGCTTTCATTTGCTCAGGTTTTTTCTAGATTTTAAGTCCACTGGAAACGTTCATCTGACTTTTTCAGTGTCCTTTTCTTGGGATGGTTTTGCATCTTCCTGAGCTGCTCCACGTGGATTCTGACCTAATGCAAACTGATCCTAATCAGACCAGTTTGGGCTTGAGCTGGATCCGGTTCACGGCCCTCCTTGGCCCTCGGAAGGCCTGAGAGGCCCTCCTCATCTCCTTGGGTGGAACCAGGGAAGAATCTTATCTGAAACGCCGGAGAGGTGTTGCCCCTGGTCAAGGTGGAGAAGACGGATCAGGCGGCGACATAGACCTGGCGCCCGTTCTATCCGTTCTCCTGTTCTCTCGCCTTCCTGTGCCATGTCATGGAGTGACTCAGCCCGTTTCGTCTGTATTGCTTCCCTTTCTGAAGGTCTCAAGCCGTGAGCGGGACCTTCAAATGACCCGAGATGCTCTCCTGTCGTCAAATCCTGAACAGCCTCCTCAGCCTCCACCTGGCCGCTCTCATGGGGGTCGAGGGGGCGACCAGAGAGTACTACCTGGGCATCCGTGAAGTCCAGTGGAGCTACGCTCCCTTGCAGAAGAATGCAGTCACAGGACTAAGCACTGCAGATGACCTGTGAGTTTAATTTCTATTTTTCCATAGTGCCATCCCTTAAAAAAAAAAAAAGAAAGAAAGAAAGAAAGAAAGAAAGAAAGAAAGAAAGAAAGAAAGAAAGAAAGAAAGAAAGAAAGAAAAATGCAGCTATTTATCTAATGGTATTCATTTGATGACCGGCATCTCATCTTTACTGGCTTAAGGGCTGACCTCTCTTATTTTGGAAACAAAAGAGTTTCTGTAATGTGTTGTTCGGTATGTAACACAGAAGAGAGAGAGAGAGAGACAGTGGGACCTCCTCGCGTCCTCCTCCTGTCGTGCTCTTTTGAGAAGTAGGAGGATAACTTTAAAGCGTTCCACAAACAGGGTCAGGACTCAGCCCAAAGTGAGGCGGGCAGTCGGTCGTGGGCAGATTTATCTGTGGGTTTCTTTTTTCAACTCCCAACCTCAGGGAACTCAAACAGCAGGAGGACATAGCTGAAAAGTGTGTGAAGAATCCGTTCCTCTGTTTCTTTTTTTTTTTTCCTGAATGAAAACTCTTTTCTCAAAGAGATTTGCCTTCTCTCTGTGTGTGTTGCAGGGAGAAGCACGGTATATATTCAATGGATGTCGTTTTCCTCTACGAGGCAAAAGAAAGTATTCCATTCTGCTGTAAATTCCATTCTCCCCACTCCTTCAAAAGGAGAACAAACCCAGGAATCACCTTTCCTTCTGTGCTGTCAGTGATAATAATCTTAGAACAGCAGAACTGGAAGAGGGACTCTCTGTATTGTGAAGTCCAGCCCTTGTCAAGGAAGCCCCGGGATGGGTGGGATTCGAACTCCCCACTTCTGGCTCTGCAGCCAGAGACCTAAACCATTGAGCTCTCCAGCTGTTCCATGTCGTCACCCGAACTCTCCCCACCCAAGGGGCAGGACTGGTCTTCTTCTCCTTTCCTCCCATTGTCGTCTTGAGTCCCCCGTGGCATCCTTTTGCTCCCCCCTCCAATCTCTACCTGAGCTTCGAAGCGCCTGCACCCAGGATCCGCCTCTTACCTGGAAACAGTAATAAAAATACTAGCAAAGTGCAAACAGGAATTTAAAAAACGGTCTCTGTGGCTCTGGACTTGGGACTCTCCTTTTGATAAAAAGAGCTAATTATAGGCTACGGCCGGACAGAGCTGTGCCTGAGCAGAACCTGCCCTTTCTGTCGGGATTTTTGCACTGTGACATGGGGGGGAGATGACCCACTCACTGGCGAACCACTGGCCAATGCCTGGTGGACCCCACAGGTGGCAGGGGAATTCTGGGAGTTGTCGTTCAAAAATACAAATCTGCCCACAGTCGGTGCACAAGAGGATTTTTTTAAAAAAGGGGATTATTTTATTCTGTTGTTTTACAGGAGCCTTTCATATTACTGTTATTTATGACTTTAGGCATGATATAAATCTGGCTACCATATTATTGTTTAAGGACTTAGAGAACGCACTTGGATAGATGATAAATGTTACATTTGTGCTATTTTAAACCCTTAATAGTGCATAGAATAAGGATTAGTCCAGTAAAACCATAGCATAGCTGTTGGTCTCCTTCCATCCTTTTCCAGGAAAGCCGCCGAGTTCCTCCAACCGGCCAGGAACAGAATCGGCAGTGTCTACAAGAAGACGGTGTATAAGCAATATTCGGACTCCACTTATGCCACGGAAGTGTCCAAACCAGACTGGCTTGGTTTTCTGGGGCCCGTCCTACGGGCCGAAGTAGGCGACACCATCCTGGTGCATCTCAGGAATTTTGCCCGCCGTCCCTTCAGCGTCCATCCTCACGGGGTCTTCTACAGGAAGGATTCTGAAGGTACGGGAGGGTCTCCTCCACTCTGCTGCTCATAAGCCTCTGCATGACCTGAGGTCTTCTTGGCTAAGCCAAGCCAAGATCAAATGATGCTGATCCGGCAAAATTTTATCAGCCTGGCCCACCATCCAGAAAAAAGACATGGCTTAGCTTTTAGTTGATAAAAATGTTGAAACTGAAGCTGTCCTACTTTGGGCATGTCATGAGAAGGCAGGATTCTCGGGGGGAGGGGACACCAGTAATGCTTATTGCAGAGTAGAAGGCAGCAGGAAAAGAGGAAGACCAAATGTGAGATCCCTAAAGGAAGAGTCCCTAAAGGAAGCCACAGGCAAGAGCTGAGCAGGGCAGTTGAGGTGAGGGCATTTTGTAGATTGGTCGTTCATGAGTCGGGGGGTAGCTTGACAGCACATACAGACAACAAATCGTTTTGGAAACGGAGCAGTGATTTTTGGATATGAAAGGCTCCCCACACCCTATATTCTGAGGCCAGCCAAGACTTCACGAGGTTGAGAGGGAACTTCAAGGAGCCTCAGAACCAGAAGCTTTTAAGGAGAGCTAGAAGCCCATGGCTCTCAATGTCAATGGCTTGCACCGTGATTTTGCTTGCAACCAGCTTTTAGCCACTATTAATTTTAGGTCAGAAACAAGTAGCTCTCGCTAACAATGATAGAACCTGGCTCTTCCATGCCCTGTCGGGTGAAGCTTGGTCCGTGTGAGACTTGCCCTACAAGGACAAATGAATGGCATAGATTATCTGGTTAGTGCCCTAGAAATATTACTCAGGAAGATCTGCAAAGTACACAAGCTATGGAAAGCCTGTATTGTGACAATCAGATGTTTTCAGCCATTAAGGAATTCCGTCTTCTAACGATGGGCTATCCATAATGTCCATGAAGTTTGATACAGCCACCTGATTTCTTGCATGCATTTAACCATGAAAGGGCACTGCTTGCTTTTCCCAGGGTCCTTCTACCCTGACGTATCCTCACAGGATCTCAAGAAGGATGACGCCGTCCCGCCAGGAGGGAACCACACATATACTTGGACCATTCCTGAGGACCACGGTCCAACTGTGGATGACCCTGCCTGTTTAACATGGATCTATCATTCTCATGTCAACGCGCCCAAAGACATTGCCAGTGGCTTAATTGGGCCCTTGCTGGTCTGCAAAGAAGGTGAGGCTGCCCGTTGGAAACACGGCCTGGTTTGATAGCTAGGCTCCAGTCAATCCTACTGCAGGTGCAATAAACCCCAGGACTTCCCTTAGCGGTCCCTGAATTCAGGTTAAGTTTGGCTGACACAAATTTCCCATGATGCAGAGAGCCCTGGACTCTGGACCTCCTGCCTCCTCCCTTGATTAATCCTCTCCCCTCTCTCCAATTCATGCCCAGGAATTCTGAAAAGCCTCTCTCAGCGGCGCCATGATGTGGACCTCGATTTTTTCCTGATGTTCAGTGTGGTGGATGAGAATGAAAGCTGGCACCTGGAGGAAAACGTGGCCGCTTTCTGCACCGAACCAGACTCGGTTGACGTGGAAGATGAAGAGTTCAAGGAAAGTAACAAGATGCATGGTGGGTGTCGGCAGGCGACCCGTCTCTTGGCGCCTTTCCT